CTGGAAGAAGGAGTTGACAGAAACTATCTGCAGCTGTGGATAAAGCCACGCAGATATCATATCCAGATATGTGACCTTTTCACTGTGTTCTCTGCCAAATATGGGTGGTCTGTGGGTGTGAAAATTGAGAAGGGGGACGTTCTACCGTACATGTTCATAAACAGCCTGGTTACTAAGTAATGTAATTTTGAAAGTTTCAGTATTTTCTGAATCACTCTGTGTATCATAGAAGGCCACACTTTCCACTCCAACTTTGGTGCTGAGACAGGCTGGGACCTGGGACCCTTTGTTTGCACCTGGACAAACAGCTTCCATGGCAACAAAATACAAAGGAACTAAAAGAGATCAAAAATAACTGTGCGCATGGGCAGTTGAGGCAAATTATGAACAACTAGATACAAAAAGACCAAAAACACAGCCCAACTGCCACTTCTGAAAACCTAGAGCAAAAGCAGAGTGCCTGCTCTCTGCATACAACATCACCAGAGGCGGGGGAGAAAAACCACCCAAGCCACCCCTCCAGCCAGACCCCTCACCCCATTTAAGGACCCAGCTGGCCCCTGGGCTAACAAGGAAACCTATTACTTGCTTTCACTCTCCCCTGCTGCAGTAGGAGCCCCAGGAAAGCTTTGCCTAAATTTCTTGTCTGAGCTCTGATCAGTTTCTCCTGGTTAAGGAGTCCAAGAACCTTTATCGGCAACACAGCTCCTGTCCCCATCCTTCACACATGTGACTGCATGTGTTTCTCTTTCGATGGGTGCTTCCCCAGGGACAGAATTATGTCTGGGATTCCCTTGGAAGGACATCATCCAGCATTGGGGTTTGTAGGATTAGGATTAGGAATCCTACTCTGGAGTTTGCAGGATTAGGCACTTAGTCTTGAGCTTTTGGAATGTGACAATGGCCTGTTCCTTCTTCTCATCTGTCAGCTCCACCCAGGGAGGCAGAAAGACAAAGCAAATCCTCTTGATGAAGACTTGCCATGGGCTCAGGCTTCAGGGGATCCCTCTTGCCTTTCTCCTTGCTGGGAAAAAAATACAAAGAGTACACACAGGTTAATCCCTGGGCCCTAGAACAAAAGGCTTCCTCATTCCATGGCCATCAAAGACAGCACCAGTCTGGATGGAGGCTCCCTGCGCACAGAGTAGAGCCTGGACTTGGCAGCCTGCTAGGGAGGAGGCTGGCTATTGTTGAAGTTACTCATGCTGCTTTGCTTTAGTTTCTCTCACATAGTTGCCTGAACCTTTGTTTTAATCTTATTACAGTCTGGCTTCCCCACCCTGCTCCTCTGGGAAAATATAACTCCCCTAGGCTCCATTATGGGACATGATTCGGGATCACCGAGGAGATTTCATCTGGGAAGTCAATTCTCTAACCATCCAGTGGGTCCCCAGTGGCTATGAATGCAACCCTCTCCAGGGTACGAAAGAAGGGGCAGAGCGCAGAGGACCAGACTTGGGAGGAGGAAAGAGGTACAGTTTAGTCCAGGAGGCAGTCTGAAAATGGTTAGAGGACACAGGCCACCTCCCGCACCCAGACAAAGACAGAGAAAATCAGGGGCAAATGAAATAGGCTCAAACTTGACCTTATAAGGGTAGTGGGACTGGGAAAAGAGGGACAGGAATGGATCTGTCACAGGGTCTCTCCTCTCTGACTCCCCCCCTCTACTGAATTTCTTTCTGATCAATTTCTATTGATTAGGAAGGCCCCCTCTACTGTCTCAGGAGCCCTCATCATCTCTCATGAGCCCTGCCAGTGGACCTCACTCAGGGTCAGGGTCTCTGGAATTGGTTCCCAGGACATAATATAGTAGTCTAATATAATATATTAGAATATATATATATATATGTATATATATATAGCATGCTGCTGCTGCTGCTGCTGCTAAGTCGCTTCAGTCGTGTCCGACTCTGTGCGATCCCATAGATGGCAGCCCACCAGGCTCCCCCATCCCTGGGATTCTCCAGGCAAGAACACTGGAGTGGGTTGCCATTTCCTTCTCCAGTGCGTGAAAGTGAAAAGTGAAAGTGAAGTCGCTCATTCGTGTCTGACTCTTCCCAACCCCATGGACTGTAGCCCACCAGGCTCCTCCATCCATGGGATTTTCCAGGCAAGAGTACTTGAGTGGGGTGCCATTTCCTTCTCTGATATATAGCATACTTGATATATATGTTCTAATTTGATATATATATATGCATCAAATTAGAACATATATATAAATGACTTTTACATCTACCGGTAGGAGATATATTTGTGTCAGAAAAGGAAAGAAACACTATGCTTTACATTGCTGGTGCTATCTAGCACACAGGCCAAAATTCGCATTGGATAATATGTTGAAGTTAAATCATCCTCTGATAGGCCCCTTACTAATGTGGCACAAACCGGCAATGCTGGTTGCATTTTTTCCCCCTTCATAGACAAATACAGGCTGCTCCTCTGTTCAGTTCTTGAAGTGAATGTGAGGTTCCTTCTGCAATTGAATTATATACTTCATTTGAGGGTGAGTCTGCTCCCACCCTGGAAAAGACACACATGTAGTCCTGAAAGAAGAATAGATCTGATCACCTATGCTGGTTAATAGAAGCCTGTTCCGGTGTGCACAGCCCAGACAAGGACCCAGCAGAGGGTGGCGCAGGGGAACTTGACTCCACAGGAAGGACAGGACAGCCTGCCAGGCTTCTTCCAAGGACTCGGATTCTCCCTCCCTCTGACCACGGGTTTTCTTCCAGCCCCTTGGGCAGGGGGCCTCATCCACTCTGGAGTAGAACTTTCCTCTGACTGCAGCAGTGAGTGCCAGCAAGCTTGCAAGTCATACTTCTGATCTCATGCCTCTGCATGGCCTCTGGCAACACTCAGCAAAATTTTATCTGTGGCTTTTTGTCCTTACTAATATGGTACAAACCCGGCAATGCTGATTGCATTTTCTTCCCCTTCCTAGACACTTACAGGCTGCTTCTGTGTTCAGTTCTTAAAGCTTCTTGTGGATCCCTGAACACACCAAGCTTCTTCATACTTCCATTATAATGATGATTTTAGCTCATCTTCATTGAGAACTTATGTGCATACAGAATGCAAAGACCTTTACATGAATTATTTCACATAATCCTCACAGCACTGTGAGATAGGTACTATTTTCATCCCCAGTTTACATCTCTAAAAATGAGTAATTTGCATAAAGATGCACAGGAGCCTGTGAGCCTAAGTACCTTGCTTGTCTCAAGAGCTCTTGCTCTTAGCCAGGGGTTGGCAAATTTTTCTTTAAAGAGTCATCTAATAAATCTTTTAAGCTTTGCTGGTCATATACCATTCTGCTGCAACCAGTACTCAACTCTCCTATTACAATGTGAAAGCAGAAACAGACATGGGACATTGACATAGACAACAGGGCATTGGAAAAACAGGATGTTGCTCCAACTTGACTTGCTAGCCCTTCCTACCCCTCCCGGCCTCATCCATGCCAAGTCTAAAGACTCTATCCCAAGAAAGTAGCTCAGAACACTATGTCATGGGAAGGAAAGCTTCTTTCTTAGAATTGGGTGGGAGAATACTTCCCGGTAAGGCATTGTGCAACCAGGGTGGAGGAAGAGGAGCTGCTTCCATGGCCTTGAGAAGGTATCTCTTTCCTGCCAGACACTGAATAAGCACTTTTTTGGGTAGGGAATGCCCTGCTCCCCTGGAAACTGCCTCCATAACACTGGAGAGATTGAATTGTTTATAAAATAGTCACAAGAGCTTTTCTCAGGCTCATCTCAGTGTGAGAGTCTGTCTTTCCTCGCCTGGCTGCCCATTTAACCAGATAGTCTTATAAAACACCCTGTCTACAATTGCTTTTAATACTCTTCATGGTACTTAATTTATGGACTAAAACAATGAATCTCCTTCCCCCCTAAATCAAACACCATGATCACTTGACAGCCTTCCCTCCCTCTAAGAATGTGTCTGGAGATTTGAGATTTCAAGCACTGAAATTAGGAATATAAACTTGGAAGTTACTTGTGACGTCATCACACCTGTAAAGACACATTTTTATGACTCATTGTTTCTATATGCCCCTCAACTTTCTGTACACACCCCATTAAGGTGTCTGATCTTGACTCCTAAGAAATATCAGAATCTGAGAATATAAATTCAGTCAATTCCCTTAATTATTTTTGTCCTACTCATTTTAGATTCTTAAAATTAAGCTCCAAGTGAACATTCAAAAAAAGTGGAAAAAGGGTGCCTGTGAATTCTATTTTGTAGGGAAAAAAATGTACACAGTCACCAGCTCAATGGGAAAGCAAACACTGGGGAGGAAGGTGCAGGCATGAGTAGAAACCGTAAGTCAGCTCTTTGGGCAGGGTGGACTTGGGTGATCTCTTATCCTATATCATGAAACTGCCAATTCCACACAAGACGAGGTTGTTCTTATGCTGTAAAAATTCATCTCCTTTGTGCCTCTTGCCTTTCAAAGGAAGGTCATATCCCCAAAGTAGCCCCCAATTCCCAGGCCAGGCCACCAGGAAGGCAACCAGGAGAACCAGAAGGACATGTTCAAACACGGCCAAAAACTACCGCAAGCCACTTCTTGCTCAGACCACGGGGCAAATACCTATTAGCCCTCAGAGATAGTTCAACCTGATGGGAAGGGTGGTGTGAGTGGAGGAGAAAACCTGTGTGGGAAGGGGGCACAGAGAAGAGTGTCTGAGTAAGCAGAAGGAGGGGACAATTATCACAGATCAGCTCCTTGTCTCCTTTGTTTAAGAATATGACTAACCCATGACTTCAGTGAATTTACATCCAGTGGTATTGTGTTGGGATCAAGTCAAGGCTAGAAGCCAGAAGAATTTCTCCATGACTAAAGGAAGCCAAAGAAGCAATATTCATACTTCATACCTTTCTAGAGGCAGGGGGTGATCTCACTATTTGTAAAGCCCAGCCCTTCCCAATCTGCAGGCTCACCTTCCAGGACTAAGCCCGGCCCATTTTTTCCATATATAAGCTGCTGCTGGGAAGCTCCTCTCATAGATCTGCTCCTCTCAGCTCTGCCCTCCACCTCTCATACCCTTCTCAACCTATTCTTCAGGAACCATGTCTTACAAATCCACCGTGAAAACCCAAAGCAGCAGCCGCAGGGGCTTCAGTGCCGGCTCAGCCAGAGTCCCTGGGGTCTGCCGCTCTGGCTTCAGCAGCGTGTCCCTGTCCCGCTCCAGGGGCAGTGGCGGCCTCGCTGGAGTGTGTGGAGGAGCTGGCTTTGGCAGCCGCAGCCTCTATGGCCTGGGGGGCTCCAAGAGGATCTCCATCGCAGGGGGCAGCTGTGCCATCGGTGGTGGATATGGCGGCAGAATTGGAGTTGGCTATGGCTTTGGAGGTGGAGCCGGGAGTGGATTTGGTTTTGGTGCTGGGGCTGGTAGCGGCTTTGGGCTCGGTGGTGGAGCTGGCTTTGGAGGTGGCTTCGGTGGTGCTGGCTTCCCTGTGTGCCCCCCTGGAGGCATCCAAGAGGTGACCGTCAACCAGAGTCTCCTGACTCCCCTCAACCTGCAAATCGACCCCACCATCCAGCGGGTGAGGACTGAGGAGCGGGAGCAGATCAAGACCCTCAACAACAAGTTTGCCTCCTTCATCGACAAGGTGAGCCGGGAGCACCTGCCCCCAGTGGGGATTGCAGAGTGCCCAAGAGAGACCCAACCAGTGTCCTACCAGAGGGAGCCTTGAGATATTCAAGAGAGAGGGGACTCAGGCTAGTTCTCCACTGGAATGCGGGGCAGGCTTCATGTGGACCGCAGGCTGAAGGTGATGGTAACCATTTACAACTACTGACCCCTTAAATATCTTCCATAATCATGAGGGAAGCATTCACAATTCTTGATAACCCTGAAGCAAAGAAATGAAATGAAAGGATGGAAAGAGTTATCTTGACCTGTTGAACAGTGTAAGAAATTAAAAAAGGAATTACAGTGGAAAATGTACTTCAGCCTTAGTTGAGCTGGTGGGTGTAGGGGCAGAAGGAAAGAAAATGTAAAAAAAAAAAAAAAAAAAAGGAAATTCCAGGGGGGAAAAGACTCAAAAATATGTGAATACTCGTAGAAATACTCAACCTGTAGAACCAGATCATAACCACTGAGAGAGTTTGTTTTAGAGGGACTCATACTCTAAATAGGAAACAGAATTAACTCCAATTATTAATAGGATTGGAATTTAATCATTAGATTATGGACATTTAAACATCCGTTTAACTGAGATATGCTCTTTAAAAACCTCTGTGCAATATATGAGAGAAATATGATTTTTAAATTACATCTGTGTTTGCACTTATCAAAAAAACCCCAGAAAGGTGAAAAGTCACTGACAGATGTCTCCAGAATTGAAAGGGAGGGAACATCTGACAGCTCACTGGGAAAATGGCCATGAGACCTGTGTGGCGTGAAGCTAAAAAGTCAGGGGACCAGAACTGTCAGCTGGAGCCTCTGTACAGACTCTGGAGCATCCCAGCACCACCAGACCACCAGACTGGCCTGGGGACTTGTCAACTCACAGATAACCATCTTGTCTTCCCACAGGTCCGATTCCTGGAGCAGCAGAACAAGGTCCTGGACACCAAGTGGACCCTGCTGCAGGAGCAGGGCACCAGGACCGTGAGGCAGAACCTGGAGCCTTTGTTCGAGCAGTACATCAACAACCTCAGGAGGCAGCTGGATAGTATCATTGGGGAGAGAGGCCGCCTGGACTCGGAGCTCAGGGGGATGCAGGACACGGTGGAGGACTTCAAGAACAAGTGAGTTACAGGAGACAAAAAGGCTCAGTTTCCTGAAGCCCACATTTCAAGCTAATTATATGATCAGGTTCAAATGAGGGCATGATCTCAGTAAAACATGTCCATGAAAATGAAACCACAATTCTTACCTAAACACAAACTCTGGAAAACATAGGGCCATGCAGGTAGATGGGGAGAGTAGTGGAGTAAATAATATAGTGACCACAAAATTCACCTTTGAAGCTTACTGGCAGGAAAGTCCCATTTGCATACATCCATTCTGGGAAGTTGAAATTCCATGCTGCCTTTTCTGTATCATCTTCACCCCTGACTCAATTAGATTTTATCCTTTCTAATTCCAGATATGAAGATGAAATCAACAAGCGCACAGCAGCAGAGAATGAGTTTGTGAATCTGAAGAAGGTGAGATGAGTCAGATCAGGGGTTCAGGTTTCTTTGATGAAGGGGAGGACTCTGAGAAAAGTGTAATCAGGGAGACTAAAAGAGAAGCAGGCTGGACAGGAGGGCCTATCAGATCCCAGCCTGTTGACTTCTTCCCCAGGATGTGGATGCTGCTTACATGAACAAGGTTGAACTACAGGCCAAGGTAGACGCTCTCACAGATGAGATCAACTTCCTAAGAACCTTCTATGAGGCAGTAAGCATCTTTTCACATTCTGCTTTATTGATTATACTGAGATTTGCAAAGGGTGAAAAAATCTCTGGCTGGGTACACCCCTCTAAATGGCATGACCAAAGAGGATCGGATGATCTCTTGTTCTGCAGGAACTGGCTCAGATGCAAACCCACATCTCAGACACTTCTGTGGTCCTCTCCATGGACAACAACCGCAACCTGGACCTGGACAGCATCATCGCTGAAGTCAAAGCCCAGTATGAGGNCTGGGTGTTCATTGGAAGGACTGATGCTGAAGCTGAAACTCCAGTACTTTGGCCACCTCATGCGAAGAGTTGACTCATTGGAAAAGACCCTGATGCTGGGAGGGATTGAGGGCAGGAGGAGAAGGGGCCAACAGAGGATGAGATGACTGGATGGCATCACCGACTCGATAGACATGAGTTTGAGTAAACTCCGGGAGTTGGTGATGGACAGGCAGGCCTGGTGTGCTGCAATTCATGGGGTCGCAAAGAGTCGGACCCGAATTAGTGACTGAACTGAACTGAACTGATTTCTCTGCCTGCTGCATGCACCAGGAGACGTCCCTACGGACTCCCATGATAGCTAACTCTTCATTATACTTGGCCTTGAGAGAACCTAACAGTAGACCTCAGGATGAGAGGAAAAAGGGGTTTATGAGAGGGAAAAAGGAGTCCATCTCTGACAGCAGCTGGATCCCTTGAACCATGACTTTCTCTGGGCCATCCTTTCTCTTCAAGGCTGTCACCTACTGGACTCCAAGGGTATTCCTTTAGCACTAGAAAGTAAGTAGGGGAGGAAAACCATCCTCTTTAGGTCTTGGAGGCTGGTCCACTCAAATGTGCTATTTCCCAACACTCTTACTGTCCCCAGACTCCACATGTAACTATAGAGCCTCTTCTTGAGCCCCACTGCCATCTGTATCTGTACTCTCTCACTTAAGAAACTCCTCTCCATCAAATTGAATAAAGGAAGACCTTTCTTTCCTGCTTCTCTTTGCAACTGCAAGGCTAGAGTTTATCTGGACTCTCATGAAAGTTTCCCTTTATCCCCATTTTCTGTCTCTCCATTCCTCTTGCCTAGTCTGATTTTCTTCATAGCATATGGAGAGTGTAACAAAGACATTAGAAATTGCATTTAGTAGACCTTTCTTTTGTCTTAATATTAGTACTGTTATTTTGCTACTATCATAGGTTTATTGTAGGATAGAGCAAATAAGTAATATGTCATTCAGAGCTAAACTTTTCAAAGCTAGTAAAATAAATACAGTTATAAAATCATCCTGTTTTCTTCTATTAAACTTGAAATATAGCTCCAAACTTCTGATTTAAGTATTTTCTAATAAGTTTTTACATATTTCAACCTCTGTCTTTTGAAAAAGACTTCAAATCTAGAAGAACCCAGTAATGAAGAGCATGCAGAGCATGAAAATTCTAGCTTATAAATATCACTTCCCAATAAAGACACCAGAACTACTCACAGAAATGGCTAATTCCATGTCTGTTGCGAGATAACCTTGAGACAATTGTCCCTGTCAACAAAGAAGCTTTCAGAGTCCAATGGGGCCCTATCAAATAGACACAGGAGCCAATCTGAGGAACCCAAGTGGCCTAAAATGGGATGGTTAATGCACCAAAAGGATTAATGCCTGCAATGGACTGAAACATATCAAACATGCTTTTTCAACTGTGAGTTTATAATTATATAAAACCAAAATAACAAGCAAAACTTCCTTGATTGTGTTTGGAAATCACTGTGGTCTCAAATCAGTATTATAAAGATTTCAAAAGTACAAGAAAGAAGCACTTATTCTGCCTCTCCTGTCTGAATAATATACATACTAGGTTATCTAAAAAGTAAACAGTAAAGATTCCATCTTTATAGATGACTCCCAGTTGATAAATGCAGAGGAGGGATGTTAAATTCAAAATTCCGAATTTGCAACATCTAAATAAATAGTCAATGTGGGAATTGACCAATGAGTGTTAAAATATTAGACGACAGATTTACTCAGCACTTTTAAATGGAGGGTCAAGGTGGCACTACAGCTAAACTGCAGATCAGTCTTAACATCACTAAACTGGACAGCTAGTATTATATACCTCACAATTTCATGCAATATAAGGCACACAGGACCAGCTGGGACATAATATTTCCTGAAACAATGGAATAAATTTGATTTGCCCATAGAACTAGTACACAGGAAAAACTGGGCTTAGAAGTTGTGTGACACCAACAGGAAACAATGAACCAAATCCAGAGTGCAGATATACTAGAGAAGAAAAACAATTTGTCCACAGATGAATGGCATTCAAAAGGGATCTATTACAGTATGAAAGAATCTTAAGAGACCCAAGAATCTAGTTAGGATGTTGCTTCAAGTAAACCAGCATAAAAAGACATCTTTGAAATAATCAGAAAAGTGTGAACATAAATGGACATTCAGCTTCATTATGAAGCAACTGTTGCTATTGATATAAAATAGTTATACAGTGAGATTAAAAAGTCATCCTTTCTTAAGCATGTATGCAGATATTAAGTGAAGTGACTTAATGTCTTAATTTTCTTGAAGATACATCAACAAAAAAGTAGAAGATTTCAGTAGAAGTAGGGGAATTAGATGAGACAATACTGAGAAATATGGATCAGTATTTAATCTGGGAGATTGGTGCATGGCTGTTTACATACTATTCTCTCTCATTGTATCCACTGGACTTCCAATGATACAAACTTTGATTAAGTAGTAAAGGAGGTTGTTCCACTGAGAAGAGCACTAATATATTTGGGAATGAAATTTCTGATGATGGTAAATCTGATGTATTGTAGACCACTTTCAGGTGACCCCATCAGGTTCAGGAGGGGGTCATCATCCTGAGCAATGATGTCTTCATTGAACCCAATAGTTTCCATGTAGTGCAAGAAAAGAAAGGCAATATTTCTAGCATCAATTATTTCTTAATATTTTAAATGCTATGTGTTTTAAATATAAATATAAGAATGAAAGACTTCTTAACATAACCAAATGGAGGAAACAAGAATATCTCCTTCTTAGAAATTGCCTTAAACCAAACTGGGAGAACAAGAACCAAAAAAGTAATCTCCACCCTCAACCACCAAAAGGAAAACATCTTAAATTCCTTCAATCAAAAAAAAAAAAAAAAAAAAGAAAGAAAGAACAGAAAACTCTTCCCACAAAAAGGGAGAAATAAATCACACATGTTGGGAAAACTCAGAAGATGCCCTCAATGTACATCTCAGAAAATCCAGTGAAGAACACTCTCAAAAACAGATGGATCAAAATTAAACAACGTGGGAAACACAGAAGAAGAGCACACAAAGCTAACCCTGAGGTCTTCCTGTTACCAGGCACCTCTGACTCATTCAACTCCTGCTGTGTGAATGTGAAGAACACATCCTCAGGTGCATATCTAAGAATCAAAGAATCGATCTTTGCAACAGTCAGAAGTGGGTGTGTGGGCTATAGGCAGGGCCTATTTGCCCTGAAGTTTCAAGACGCAGGGAAGGCAGGGTTGAGTAAGGAATCAGAGGCAATGCCTATTGGCAGCTTGTTGTTGGAGAAGCAAAGAAAACCGAGGCTGAACTGTGAGCCGCTCTGCAGACAACTTCCTTGGCTTGGATGAATTAAAATTAAAAGAACTATTTACACAACCTGTGTCCTACTGAGAATTCCAGTTATTCTGGTTGTGGCCTGTCCTCCCAGAAGACTGTAAAGGCAGGTCCAAAAGGATCTCAAATCATTCAGAGATGAGCTCTTGTTAGGAAGGAACCATTCCAAGTCCCACGAAGGACACTTTACATTAAAGCAAACAGATAAACAAGCAAACAACAACAACAACAACAAACACAAGGAAAAGGAAAAGCAAGAGCCACTTAGAAAGCATTCAACAGAAAAAAGTCAGAATAAAGTATTTCCTAAAATGTGGTAAAATGAACACCATGATGAAATAAGAAAGCCAAGGGGCAATAGTGTGAGAAATAAATGATTAAATATTAGCAGGTAGAACTCAGACAAGCAGCAGAGAAAAACAGATAAAGTCACAAGAGAAATGAAGGCCAAACTAAAAACAACATAAAACCTTGCTGATGCACAACAATGCACAGGTTTAAGGTGAAGAAAACAACCCGTAGGAAATAGCACTTGAGACTGCTACATGAAAATTGAGAAAAAACAGAGATATGGGAGAAAAAGTACATACACTATAAGCATAATTGCAAAGGAGAATATATATGTGTTTCATATATACGTATATATTCAAAATATATTCTCACATGCATCACACGTGCTGTGCTAAGTCTCTTCAGTCATGTCCGACAGTTTGCGACCCCAGTGACTGTAGCCCCCCAGGCTCTTCTGTCCATGGAGCTCTCCAGGCAAGAATACTGGAGTGGATTGCCAAGCCCTTCTCCAGGGAATCTTCCAGACCCAGAGTTCGTACTAGCCTCTCCTGCAGCTCCTGCATCGTAAGCAGATTCTTTATCCCTGAGCCACTGGGAAGCCATATGCATCACACATGCCCCAGGAGAAGCACAGAAACATTCAAATGAGGTCACTACAAGGATACACAGGGAAGTAGCCAACACTTCATGGTCTTCCTAAACAGGAATGGGCAATGGCCTTCAGCATGTAATTTTTCCCTCAGCCATGTATTACTTATTAAATACTTTAAATAAATAAGTAGATGTGTTAATATCAATATTCTGCATATAAATAGGCATTCTATGACATTTATATCTGTAATGTTTAAAGTAATCACTTATTAAGCTTCTACTTTGAATTGTCACTTCACAGGATACATGAAGGACAGAATACCACCTTAAACAAGATGACATGATTGTGCAGGTTAAACACTCCAAGATTGGACAACTGCAGAAAACAAATAAGCTATATTTTTTCTCACAAATAAACAGCAAGTGGAAAGTGGAGGCAGATTTAATGACCTGCAATATTATAAAGACATAATACGTTAAAGACATATAACCCAAACACAAAATGAATGGAATTTACTAGGATCCTGATTTGGGAAAACAAAAAATAAAATATAAATAATACACAGATTTATTTCAAGGTTGAATAGATACTCCTTGATGTTAATAAACATCTAGCATTTAAGGATATATAAATGTTATATGGTTAGTAATTTTAGAGAGCAACTCATTTAAATTTAAATATTGAATTATATTCTAAAATATAACAAGATATCTGGAAATTGCTTTCCAATATATTAGGTTTAATGAGGAATTGCATGGTAGCATAGAAGAAATAAGGCTGACCATGAGAAATTAATTTTTATAAAATCCAGCAATAGGTATACAGAGACCCATTTATATTGCAAATCTACATACCTACCTGTGGGAAATTTTTAGGGAAAGCAAAAAAGGTCATGTTTAACTTCTGTAATTAATGACAAACACTAATAATTACAGTTATAGGAAAAGCAATAGGCTATTTTGATCTCCAGGATCTCTGGCTGGTGGGTGAAACATATCCAAGAGGTGACCGTCAACCAGAGTCTCCTGACTCCCCTCAACCTGCAAATCGACCCCACCATCCAGCGGGTGAGGACTGAGGAGCGGGAGCAAATCAAGACCCTCAACAACAAGTTTGCCTCCTTCATTGACAAGGTGAGCTGAGAGCACCTGCCCCCAGTGGGGATTGCAGAGTGCCCAAGAGAGCCAACTAATGTCCTACCGGGGAGGGAAGACTCGGGGGAGAGGGAGGTAGGACTCAGGCGAGCTCTCCACTGGGATGCAGGACAGGCTCCATGTGGACCCCAGGCAGAAGGTGATGGAAATCATTTACAATTAGCCATCCCTCACTTGACCCCATTCCTGCCAAGGAAACATTCACAGTTCTTGATAATCCTGAATGAAGGAACATGAAATGAGAGAGTGCAATGAGATGGCTTGATCTTCTGAATGGTCTAAGAAACTTAAAAGGGTATTGTAGTGGAAACTGCATTTGAGTCATAGATGGATGCTGCAGGGAGGAAAAAAAGCAAATAGCAATAGGGAATTTGATGAAACACAACTCAAGTATATATCCATAGAAATACTCACCTATAGAACCAGAAAATGAGCCTTAAGGGCCTTTGTATCAGCTGTATTCATGCACTATATGGGAAACAAGGTTAAATCCAATCATTAATAGAATTGGAAACTAATCATTAGATTATAAATATCTGATATCCCTAAACTGATGAAGTACATTTGTACTTGCCCATGTCAAGAGAAAGACCGGAAGGGTTGAAAGTCTCTGACAATTTCCATAGTGAGAGGGAGGGATTATCTGACAGCTCCTGGAGAAACTTGGCAATGAGACTGTGTGGTATGAAGCTAAAGAATCAGGGGAGCAGAACTGTCAGCTCCTGTACAGGCTCTGGAGCAACTCAATACCACCGGGACCACCATCAGCCTGGGGACTTGTCAACTCACAGATAACCATCTTGTCTCCCTGCAGGTGCGATTCCTGGAGCAACAGAACAAGGTCCTGGACACCAAGTGGACCCTGCTGCAGGAGCAGGGCACCAGGACCGTGAGGCAGAACCTGGAGCCTTTGTTCGAGCAGTACATCAACAACCTCAGGAGGCAGCTGGATAGTATCCTTGGGGAGAGAGGCCGCCTGGACTCGGAGCTCAGGGGGATGCAGGACACGGTGGAGGACTTCAAGAACAAGTGAGTTACAGGAGAGAAAACACCTTAGATTCCTGAAGCCCACACTGCAGTCTATTAGATGACCAGGTCCAATGAGGGCTGATTCTTAGTAAAACATGTCAGTAGACATGACATTACAATTGTTACTAAACACAAACCCTGAAGAACAAAAGGGCCATAGAAGTTGAATGGGAAGAGTAATGGAGTAAAGAAATTAGAAACCACAAATTACAACCTTTAGGCTTATTGACAGGTCTCATTTGCATATATCCATTCTGGGGAGCAGAGATCCCAGGCTGCTTTTTCTGTATCATCTTCACTGCTGACTCAATTAGATTTTATTCCTTTTAATTCCAGATATGAAGATGAAATCAACAAGCGCACAGCAGCAGAGAATGAGTTTGTGAAACTGAAGAAGGTAAGATGGGTCAGATCAGGGGTTCATGCTCCTTTCCTGAAGGAGAGGATTCTGAGAAAAGAATCATCAAGGAGACTAAAACAGGAGCAGGCTGGGCAGGAGGGCTCATCTGATCCCAGTCTGTTGGCTTCTTCCCCAGGATGTGGATATTGCCTACATGAACAAGGTTGAACTACAAGCCAAGGTAGACGCTCTCACAGATGAGATCAACTTCCTAAGAACCTTCTATGAGGCTGTAAGTATCTCTCCGCATTCTGTTTTATTGCCTTTAAAGAGATTTGTGAAGAGTGGAAGATCTTTGGTCTAGGTACCTCTCTAAAAATCAGGACCAAAGATGATCGGATGATCTCTTGCTCTGCAGGAACTGGCTCAGATGCAAACCCACATCTCAGACACTTCTGTGGTCCTCTCCATGGACAACAACCGCAACCTGGACCTGGACAGCATCATCGCTGAAGTCAAAGCCCAGTATGAAGAGATCGCTCAGAGGAGCCGGGCTGAGGCTGAGTCCTGGTACCAGTCCAAGGTGAGCGGTGAGGTGGCAGCTTGATGAAGAATCCCTGTGCCTCCTCTGAGAACATCAATGTGGCTATAGACTTCAGTGGGGAAACTACAACTAAGAAGTGGGGGACCTCTCAAAAGGCATGTACCCTGAACTAACAGGGTAGATCTTTTGGGNGCTCTAGAGCTCTTCCTCACTGGGAAAGTAGAACTATGCTTCCTCTCCCCTGGAGCCCAGACTCAGGTTCATCTGCCCCTCCTCCCCTCCAGTGCGCCAGCCTGCAATCCGCCATCGCCGACGCTGAGCAGCGCGGGGAGCTGGCCCTCAAGGACGCCAGGAGCAAGCTGACTGACCTGGAGGACGCCCTGCAGAAGGCCAAGCAGGACATGGCCCGGCTGCTGAAGGAGTATCAGGAGCTCATGAATGTCAAGCTGGCCCTGGACGTGGAGATTGCCACCTATAGGAAGCTGCTGGAGGGCGAGGAGTGCAGGTGAGCAACTCACACAACCTCCTCAATCATCTGGCTCCATCTCCAAGGAGTCCTGCCAATGCGCCCACGTGGAAGGCACTCTAGTGCTGGTCACAGTGCCACTCCCAGAAGAGCCCTGAGAAGGCAGGCTCCTGGGGAGTCTCCTCTCACGGAGGTTTCCCGTGCGGGCCCAGCTGTGGCTCTGGGCCTCATCATGGCTGTGTCTTCTCTCTCCTAGGCTGAGTGGGGAAGGCGTTGGACAAGTCAACATCTGTAAGTACTTCACCTGCCCCCGGCCCTTGCCCTTGCGTCCCCCTGACTGGACTCTGTGTGGCAGAGTGAGCTCCCCATCTTGTCCTGACCTCGCCCCCTTGCCTCCACAGCCGTGGTGCAGTCCACCGTCTCTGGTGGCTATGGCGGTGCCAGCGGTCTCGGCGGTGGCTTAGGCGTGGGCGGAGGAAGTGGCTACTCTTACAGCGGCGGCCACAGCCTTGGAGGTGGCTTCAGTGCTGGCAGTGGCAGAGCCATCGGGTGTGGCTTCAGCTCCTCTGGGGGCAGCAGTTCCACCATCAAATACACCACCACCTCCTCCTCCTCCAGCAGGAAGAGCTACAAGCACTGAAGTCCTGTCATGGGCTCAAGCTCCCACAGTGTCTCAGGCTCCCTCTCCAGCTTCATCACTCTCTCCTCTAGTTGCTTCCTCACTTCTGCTCCCTTCATCTCTTACTCTGAGTTAGAACTGAAGTTACTGAGTGCCTTTGTCTCCCTCTGCCAATACCTGCTCTAACTGAGCTTCAATTGTTCACCATCAGAAATTCACACTCGGGTCCTAGTCCAGACATGGACTTTGCTTTCCACTGGCCCAGGAAGTCCTGTCTCAGAGGTGTTGTGTTCCTCCATTTCAGTGATTGTGAAAGCAGAAGTGACTGGTTCTTTGATGTACAGGGTCTGTATCTCTGTGTGCTTCCTCTGCTCTTTGCTCACTTGTATTGCTAAATAAAGCAGATTTATCACATACTGTGTGCTTTCACATAGCTTTTCTTTGTCTCCAATGGATCTTGAGGTTTTCATTTGATAAATGCCTTCTCAGGAATGAAGCATACTCCCAGCCCCTATGTGCTTCACTCTCCTCGTTTAGAGAACTTCAACAGACAGCACTTTAACATCCTGATGCCAGCAGTCCTCCCAGAACAGCTTGGCATGTGGAGTGGGAGGGATCTGGGTCCATCATAGTGAAGTCTGGTTTTACTGCTCAGATTAGTTTCAGCAATTTAGTTTCTCTGACTTGTCTCTATGATTCTACCTCTGTCTGCCGCAGTAGTCATCCATCATTCTCAGAGAATCATATTACAGTCTAATTAGATCAGAAGAATATTGACTAGAGTGTAAGATGTCTGATTTATATTTTAAAATGCCTTATGACCACAAAAGTGTGCCTAACAACATGTATCAGGTGCAATTTAAAAGTACACACTTCTGAACTGAAAGTATGCTTCTAGTAGTGTATCCTGAGGAAACAGTACAAATGTAAGAACTTGTACTTCTGGGATATGAATCCCAATAAGGTTTCACCTGGGAAATAATGGAAACACTGGTTAATTTCAGGATCTACAGACTCAGAAACAAAATGCAGCTGCTGATTTTTTTTAAGTAGGGAGACAACATAGAAATGGGAAGGCATTTTTCCTCACCTCAAAATCCTCTCACAGAGACTCAAAGAGGTCGAATTTTTGCCAGTCTGAAGACATGGCCTTGCGTTCTCTCTCAGCTGTGTCTTGGCTTCCTTTGACTTTCTGAATGGGTAAGAAAATCTCATGATACAATGCCAGGTTGGTCTGAGAGTCAGGCAATGTTCCTGAGATCCAGTAATTGTTTCCAGTCTGTTTTGTCCTCGGCCCTAATCTCAGATGATTTCTCTGGAGAATCCACCTAATACGATGCAAGTTCTCTTCTGAAGAATCGAGAAGACATGTCTGATTCTATGAATGGGGAGGAGTATATGTGAAGGTGATTCTGGAGCATCTTTCAGTGGCAAAAAGTGAAGAAATAGTCACAGAAGACACTGAAAGAGCTATTAGTGGACAAACTGAAACTTCCTCAGCCATAAATAAATAGATAAATAATATTTGGATTAAAGCCCAATTATGAAATAATTATTCATGGTATCTACCAATGTGAATGAATGATTGATTAAATTAATTCATAAAGGATAATTGAAGAGTCTCAGGCAAAAGGATTTCTTTTAGTTACATACATGGTCCCCATGTGAATGAGTGAATAAGTACTCCCTGCTAAGGGATGTGGGATGTGGGCTGTGCACAATGACTTCCTTCCAAACAGTACAGTCTAAAATAGGGGGGAAAGAGTGACTTTACTGAAGAGAAATCAATCAAACACTTCCTCAGCCAGATGATCAAGGCTAATATTAAAGTGATAAGTTATTTTCATAGCATGTACCCTAAGATGATGTGTTAAAAAGTGTAGATCACCTTTATGTTCTTCCTCCAAAACACCACAACTCCAGTCTATTCATGAGACAACATCAGAAAAAGCACAATGTTGGACATCAACAAAACAGACAGGCAGAGTTCCTCAAAACTTTCTAAGTCACAAAGACAAGGAAAATCTGACAAACTGTGTTAAACCAAGAAAGGTCTAAGGAGACACAATGACTAAATGAAACATAGTTACTATGGAAAACATTTAAGGCAAGAGGTTCAAAGTATCATCTGTATTTTTTACTAATTTTTATACAAAATTATAAAACAAGCAAGGTAAAGAAAGAGACAGAGTCACAAAGAAATAGAAAGACAGTTGGAGGGACAGAAATACAGAGAAATCATTGAATGGCTAATGATAAAACAATAATATTGACAATCTCATGTTGGTTTTAACTCCAGTAAACTGTATTTTTTTAATCTGTGTACTCCCTAAATCTTTTGATGTTGAACCTTGTTATTTCAAAAGAGAAAGTGTGTTCCCCATGATATCTTCATTGTATGACATCTGAAATTAAATGTGGTTACAATTTTGGTATTAAGGAAGAAAAATTTCAATCTCTTGATTAATGTATATGAGATTAAAATTTTCAGATTGATTTCTTTTGTTCTATGAGGGCTGAATAGGAATAAACATTTTTTTTCTATTGAAACAGTAAAGTCTTGCTTTTGAAGCAAGGAAGGACTCAGAAGTACCAAAGGTTGTTAAATACTGGATTTGGCTCCTAAAGTTAATTGCTTCCTCCAGGATGGAGTCTAGGTACTTGGAAAATACATAAAATACATCTTTTTCATAACAATCTCAAATAGAAGAAGTTTTTCTGCTTAGAAGCCATACCCAAAGTTCACCTTACCTGAATCTTCTGTGATCCAGGATAATCACTTGTGAGCCCTACAAGGTAGATTCTAGCTATGTTGGCTAGAATCCCCAGCACAGACTAATGAATGACATCACAGTTCATGGGGGCACAGGGTGCGGCACAAGCAGAAGAGGGAACATTTCCAAAGGTCCTGAGAGCAGATTGCTCTCCTCTGCCTGCTGCATGCCCCAGGAGGCATTCCCTACAGACTCCCTGCCAACTAATTCCTCATCATACTTGTCCTTGAAAGAGATGGGAATACCAGACCACCTGATCTGCCTCTTGAGAAACCTGTATGCAGGTCAGGAAGCAACAGCTGAAACTGGACATGGAACAGCAGACTGGTTCCAAACAGGAAAAGGAGTACGTCAAGGCTGTACATCATCACCCTGCTTATTTAACTTATATGCAGAGTACATCATGAGAAACATTGGGCTGGAGGAAACACAAGCTGGAATCAAGATTGCCAGAAGAAATAGCAATATCCTCAGATATGCAGATGACACCACCCTTATGGCAGAAAGTGAAGAAGAACTAAAGACCCTCTAAATGAAAGTGAAAGAAGAGAGTGAAAAAGTTGGCTTAAAGCTCAGCATTCAGAAAACTAAGATCATGGCATCTGGTCTCATCACTTCATGGCAAATAGATGGGTAAACAGTTGAAACAGTGCCTGACTTTATTTTTCTGGGCTCTAAAATTACTGCAGATGGTGATTTCAGCCATGAAATTAAAAGACGCTTTCTTCTTGGAAGGAAAGTTATGACCAACCTAGATAGCATATTAAAAAGCAGAAACATTACTTTGCCAACAAAGGTCAGTCTAATCAAGGCTATGGTTTTTCCAGTAGTCATGTATGGATGTGAGAGTTGGACTATAAAGAAAGCTGAGTGCAGAAGAATTGATGCTTTTGAACTGTGGTGTTGGAGAAGACTCTTCAGAGTCCCTTGGATTGCAAGGAGATCCAACCAGTCCATCCTAAAGGATATCAGTCCTGGGTGTTCATTGGAAGGACTGATGTGGAAGCTGAAACTCCAATACTTTGGCCACCTGAGGTGGAGAGCTGACTCATTTGAAAAGACCCTGATGCTGGGAAAGATTGAGGGCAGGAGGAGAAGGGGATGACAGAGGATGAGATGGTTGTATACCCTGATGCTGGGAAAGATTGAGGGCAGGAGGAGAAGGGGATGACAGAGGATGAGATGGTTGGATGGCATCACCAACACAATGAACATGGGTTTGGGTGGACTCCGGGAGTTGGTGATGGACAAGGAGGCCTGGCGTGCTGCAGTTCATGGGGTCGCAGAGTCGGACATGATTGAGCGACTTAACTGAACTGAGACATCAGGATGGGAGGAAAAAGGTGTTGAGGAGTCCATCTTTGAGAGCAACTGGATATCTTGGACCATGACTTTCTCTAGGCAATCTCTTCTCTTCAAGGCTATCAACTTGAAGACTCCAGGGATGTCCCTTCAACAGTAGAAAGGGAGTAGGGGTGGGAAATCATCCTCTTTAGTCTTAGAGGCAGGTTCACTCAAATGTGCCATTTTCTCCCATGCTCTTATTGTCCCCAGTCTTCTCATTCAACTGTGGCAGCCCCTTCTTGAAGCGTACTGCCATCCATATCTGTACTCCCTCACTTAAGAAACTTTTCTCCAACCAACGTAATAATGGAAGATCTTTTTTTTCCTGCTTCTGTTTGCAACCACAAGGTTAGAGTTAATCTGGATTCTCATATTGTTGTGAAAGTGAAAGTCATTCAGCTGTGTCCAACTCTTTGTGACTCCATGGACTGTATAGTCCAGTCCAGAATACTGGAGTGGGTAGCCTTTCCCTTCTCCGGGGGAATCTTCCCAGGTCTCCTGCATTGCAGGCAGATTCTTTACCAGCTGAGCTACAAGGGAAGCCCAAGAACACTGGAGTGGGTACCCTATCCCTTCTCCAGTGGATCTTCCTGACCCAGGGAACAAACCAGGTCTCCTGCATTACAAGTTGATTCTTTACCAATTGAGCTGTCTGGTAAGCCCAGATGTCAGGTTTGTTGTAGAACAGAGCAAATAAGGACTATGCCATTCAGAGCTAAGCTTTTCAGATATAGTTTAAAAAAAAACAGTTATAAAATCATCCTATATCCTCCCATTTGAATTTGAAATATATCTATAAACTTCTTATTTAAATATTTTCTAAATTTGTTTTTACATATTTCTAGATCTGTATTTTGAAAAGACGTCAAACCTAGAAGAACCCAGTAACAATGAACATCCCTAGTATACAAATTCTAGCTTTTAAATACCATTTCCCAATAAAAGACACCTCAGCTACTCACAGAAATGACTGATTCCATGTCTGCTGCAAGATCAGTACAAGGTAACCTGAGACTTCTCATCGTTGTCAACAAAGAAGCTTTCAAAACCCACTGGGACCCTGTGAAAAGGACACAGAAGAAAATCTGAAGAACTCAAGTGTAAAATGGGACAGTTTAAGTACCTAAAAGGTTTAATGCCTGCAGTGCACAGAAATATATTGAGTATATTTTTTGAACTGTGGATTTATAATCATACAAAACCAAAATTACAAACAAACAAAACTTCCTCAATTATATTTGGAAATTATGGTGGTCCCAATTCACTGTTATGAAAATTACAAAATTATAAGAAAGAAGC